TAATTCCTCGAACGCCCTTGCAACCGCGGAAGTGCAGACCGAGATCCTAAAATCCTTCAAAGAGAGAAAAAAACGAGAGAGAAGGAGGGAGAGAGAGACGTACACGGGGGAGACGAGGCAACACACACACACACACAAACACACACACACACATTGGTGCACCCGCGGACGTAGTCTACACACGGTTTATTTTTTCCTCCCCCGTTTTATTCTCCAAAGCTTCTCTTTTGAGTTGTTCTCGCATTATCTCCCGTTTATCTCTGTCTCTCCCTTCCCTTCGGCCATCTTGTCCTCCTGCGGCTGGGGTTGGAGAGCTCGAGGGTTTTTAGTGAATATATGGACCTTTGAGCTCCAGCCATGCCTCCAAAGAACAGGAAAGTGGCCGTTATGGGATACAGAAGCGTGGGTAAGTCTTTGGCTCCCTTTGCTGTGCTCTCTCGGGGCATTTCGCGTCGGGGTCTCATTTCGTGTTTCTTGGCCCTTTCTCGAGTGTTTTTGGGGTGTTTTTTCTTCTTTCGTAAGAGAGGAGGTGGTCGGGGTGTGTGGGGTGCTGGCTGCTCGTGAGGGAGAGGCATTGGATTACAGAAAGGATTATGTACTTTTTCTACTCTTTCCCTTCATGGAAGTTTATTTTCAACCGTATTTCGACATTTTCGTATTCTGGATTGACTGTCTTTTGTTCATTTTTTTCGGGATTTTGTGATATGAGACGAAGAAATGAATCTCTCTCAGCATTGTGTTTTTTTTTTTAGCTATGTATTTCATAATGTTTCATTCCATTTGCACTATTTTTGTGACCTTTCACCTTATTGTATGATGTGTTTTGGGATTTTGCACAATTCACAACATTTCAACATTTTTCCACACATTACACAACATTTCAGACATGCTTCATCCATTTCTTAGTCATTTTATAGCCATTTTCAGCAATATCATGACACATATTCCTCTCATTGTCAATTTTCTCATGACCATACCCCTGCATGACATAATATCCAAATATAACCCTAAGAATAAAGATCCTGTTACATGATTGGCTGTTTTTTGGGATGACCTTGAAAGGAAGTTCAGGATGACCTTGCCTGATGTGTTGTGAAGGGCAAGTAGTTGACCTTGTAGGATGTAGGGGAAGTTTGGGGCCTTTGGGAGGGCAGGGGTTCAAGCAGGGGCATTGGGGCACGTTTGGGGGGTTGACACCACGGCATATGTTTGCGTTTTGTTTCACTCTGCTGGATTTTAGTTCATTTAAGTGTTCTCTTGTTTGTTGGTGATTTTGTTTGTATTGTTTGTTGGTTTTGCTGTGAGTACTATTTCTAAGGGAATCATTTTTTGCTGTTATTGTGTATTTATGATTTTTTTATGTCTTGCTCAGTAATGTAATATTTTCTGATTAGACTTTCATTACTGCTGTCATTGTTATTTTTTTATTTTAAAATTAATCATTTTACAGTCATAGTTGTCATGTATTTACCATTATGATTATAGCTGCTCGAATGATGATCATATTAGCATTGATAACAGTTAAAGAATGATTAATGATTATGATTATGATTATAAGGATAAAAGTGGCTTTTTGTTTATCAAACTATTATGGCTGGAAGCTATGTGTATATATTGATCTTTTAATTATCAACAGTAACTTTTTATATATCTCAGTTATTGGAATGAAACCAAGAAGTAGCCTATTTAGCCTATAGCCGTTATTCCTTTTTCCGCAGATTAGTTCTCAGCTCTGGATAGTTTAGTTTGATTTTTTGATATTTTCTGAGTTTTAATGTTTCCTTTCAGAAAATTTGAGGGTTCTCTAAGATTGCTGAAAAGATAGTTTTAAAATTCCTTCCTTTTAACTGAGTATATGGTGTTATTTCTAGAATATAACTTTTATGAAAGAATTTTACTCGTCATGACGTCATCCTTTACATGAGTACCCTTCATTTCCACACCACTGATTTATGTCTTTCTCATTATGGATTTAATGCCTCGGTCCCAGTTCTTTTGTCGTTGATGTGACATATAACATGTTAACCACAAGTTGATATGATTAATACAGCTCTCATTAATAGCTACACATCCATCTGATTTCTTCTACTACATGCCTCATTTGTATTGCAGTGTCTTGGTAGATTTCACAGCTGTTTGTTTGTTTTCCTTTTGCAGGCAAATCCTCCTTGTGTATCCAATTTGTTGACGGACAGTTTGTGGACAGTTATGCCCCAACCATCGAGAACACCTTCACAAAGAATCTGAGAGTAAGTATATATTGGATTTGATGGAATACATAAATACTTTTTTCTCTTTTTTTTTTTTTTTTTTTGGCCAATGAGGCATTCATAACTAGACATCTGTGGAAGTGGGATGCCTTCACATCATACCCTTGCCCTTTTAGGTGTAAGATAATGATGAACTGTGATGGGTTTAAACAAGAAATTATGTAGAGGTAATTTGATGGCTGGAGGCAACCCTTTTCCATGTATTTTTTGTTTGTTTTCATCTCCTGCTTGAAAGATGGATTTTAAAATAATTACTTTTCCCTTGTTTCTGTTCTTTCTGTGTAATATGCAATGTAAAGAGTAAGAAAAAATGCTTATTGATTATTGCAGACTTTGGCATTTCCGTTGTGTTGCCATATTGTGATCATAGGCATGGGGTTAGTCTTCCATAGAAGCTAGTTGGAAGCCCTTAAATATCAGGGACTTTTTGATAATGTCACATTATTGATGATCTTTCATCATCCAATGATATCATGTTTGCAGGGCTGACTGATATGTTTATCTGATTTTTTTTTTTTATACTGAACACTAAGTTAAATGAAAATATTAAGAGACCACAACTTTATATTGGAAAGTCAGGACATGATAGACATAGAATATTCATATGCAGAAACTTTTCAGTTGCCATCAGTTATCATCATTATCATTATGATCATTATTATTATCATTATCATTATTATCATGATCATCATTATTACCATCATTATCATTATCATCATCAATCATCATTATCATCATCATTATCATTATTATCATGATCATCATCATTATTATCATGATCATCATCATTATTATCATTATCATCATTAATCATTATTATCATCATCATCATCATTATCAACATCATCAATCAATAATCATCATCATGATTTTGATTATTTCATTTGGAATCCCATCTTTTTTTCTGCTCCGCAGCCACTCTAACCTAGGGGCTCCTATAATATTCTCATAGACATATGTAGCTTGTGAGGAAGTGTCCAGACAGGAAAGCAATTTAGAGTTAATTATCAATTATTTATTTTATTTTATTTATTTATTTTTTATTACCAAAAACAAATCAATAAAAATATACCACATGAAATGTGAAACTGCGGCAAAACAGAATAAGTCCTTGTGTTCGATGTTGCTCAATGAGAAGAACTATCTGCGGTGCCATTCAAACAAGAAGCAGTTGCGGTCTATTAAGGCAGTGCTTTTCGCAGGTGAAACACTATGTCTGGCTGGGCACTTGAATACAAGTCAAGTCCTAGACGAAGATAAGGCCAGTTGAACCTTTAGTTTCCTGTGGTGCATAGTTTCATTCAAGACTCAGGCAATTAATGATAATATTGTTATAACCTACAAGGCTTTACATTGAATATTTATATTTCAAAGTTTTATTGAAATTACAATCTATTAATTGGTGAGATATTCAAACCATGTATGAATGGTAAGCTTTCAAGCTACAACAAAAGAAGCATTATTGGAAGCTTATTGTATCGGTGTACTACTGAATCCTTTATCTGCCATATTACAGAATTTTAGGTCTTGATTTCCATCTTATATTGTGGCTGTCTAAAGCCCATCCCATGTGGCTTTCTAATTTCCATTCCATATGGCTTCACAATAGCTTTGAAATAACTCGAGCTTGCCCATAACTCGGGTAAGACTGAGAGGAAAGAACCTTCAAGGGGGTAATTGCCTTCCCCTCCCTACTCCTATTCTCAGACTGATTTTATAGCATGGCAGGTTTGGGAAACTGGATGAATATTTATATCCATAAAATCTTCACATGTTTGTATAGTTGCATAAATATCTTATTGTTTTGTATGTCATATTTAGGCCTATTTACCCCATGATGGTCAATACCTGCATCCAAGGCCAAGGCATTCTCATGATGTACTTGTAGGCACAGGTTCCACTGAGATCTAAACTTTGAAAACCACTGATGTATAGGAGACTTTATATTTTTCATATACTTATGGTGGTTCCTTATTTTTTTCGAAATTGATTTTAATGTTTGTTTTCAGATCAAAATAATATTGACATAATTGTTTGTTGATAAGTAACAAAATATCTGAAAAAAGTTCAATAGCTATTATATTTTTGACAACATATACAACACAATAGATTTACCACCATATATATAGAATATGTAAAGAGATTGCTTTGAATTAATATCAACGGTTTTATCTTCATCTTTTCTTCTTGGTAAATTAGGGAAAAATACCCACACATTAATGTGTGCCAGGATGGCATGAGATGCATGCCATGTCCTCTAATTTTAGTTCATTGATTTAAAGCTTACTAGTTTATTGATTTTGCTTACACATATATGGTTCCACAAATGCTGTTACCTGTCCTACCTGATCTCGCATATTATTTTATATTTTCTTGGTTTCAGTATTGTATAATGCTAGAATAGTCATAATGTCAATGATCAGAATGATTATACTAACAACAAAAGCAATAAAAAATTATTTGGAAAAAAATATGTGAAACTATAAGGAATTGGGAAAGTCAGATTTGTTCAGTTGGGCCTAAAATTTGACTCCTTGGTGACTAAACACTTGTGGAGCCATCTGTATGTTAACAAAATTCCCAAAACAAAGCTGCAGTGGACAGAACATGTACCCACTGCCAATATGTAAAAAAGTATACAGAAATTTGTTGGAAATGTAATTAATATTTTGAATGTTTTATCTGTTCAGCTGACATACAAGATTTTGTAATGATGCTCATCTGATCTCTGATTATTATGAATGCAAATAAAAAATCTGATTTACTAGTCTTTGTAAGTGTTTAAGATCATGATGAAGCCTGCATCACCTTTGGACTCATATTGAGAATCACCAACCTGTTGTCTAGACTTGCTAATATTGTGCCATTATCCACATAAACAAAAAAGTGGAGCAGAAAACAGCTGCAGTAAGAAATGGGAAAAAAAATCTCTTCACTTCTCATTGTGGGTGTTTTTATTTTCATTTTTGTGTAGACGCTACTGTGCTTGTGCTTGTGTTCAGACCAAAAAGTGTTTGAGTAAAAGTAAAGATAGAATCACTAACCCAAAAGTAACTAATAAAGAATCTTGGACTTAACTGGTCCGAGCTGGTGATTCTTTGGAGGATATTTTCGTATGATTCTGTATTTCCTTGTTGCCTTTGTATAGGCTGTATATTTCTCTTCTGCTTCCTTTTCCCATCATCTTTATCATTTGTCCTTGCTCTCTTCAAGTTATCTTTTTTTCTTAATCCACTTTTGTTATCATTCTTTTTGTTTTCTTTTTCTCTTTCTTTTTCTTATTCTGTCTCCCCTCTCCCTCCTTCCTCCCTCCTCTTCCTTCCCCTTCCACCTTTTCTTCCTCTTCTTAATTTTTCTTCCTGCTACTTCTACATCTCAACCTCCTTTCCTTCTTCCCTTTCTCCCACCTTTCCTTTGTCTCCTCACTCTCTTCCTCACTACCTGTTCCTTTCCTTTTCCTCCTCTTCCTCCTCGACCTATATTTCCTCCTCCTCCTCCTCCATCTACTCTTACTCCTACTCCTATTATTATCCCCAGCTTCCTCATCCCAACAGGTAGTACACGGCACTCACAAAATGCATCTCTGTTACAGGTGAGAGGGCAGGAGTATGGCCTGGAGCTGGTAGACACAGCTGGCCAGGATGAGTACAGTATTTTCCCAGCACAGTACTCAATGGATATCCACGGTTACGTCCTTGTCTACTCTATCACTTCAGAGAAATCATTTGAAGTGGTGCAGATCATATATGAAAAGATCCTTGACATGATGGGCAAAGTGACGTGAGTTTCGAGGAGGAGTTATTATGTTTGGGTAATTGAATTTTCCACACCTGCATTTTACAGCTGTGAAAGTCAGTAAAGATCTGAGTGAGCATGCTTTGGAAAAAAAATAGATACACATCATTTATTAATCCAGTTCATGGTATTTATCAGTTTTCTTGTCTCTTGTGTCTTCTCAGTGTTCCCATTGTCTTGGTGGGCAACAAAACAGATCTTCACATGGAACGTGTTGTGACCACCGATCAAGGACGCAAAATTGCCGAGATGTGGAAGGCTGTTTTCCTGGAGACAAGTGCCAAACAACATGAGGTGAGAATAACTTGTATTTGTAATAGATTGGGAATGGCATGGATACTTGCCACCCAGCATTTAGGCTTGGAGATGTGATTAGAAGTCATTTGGCATGAATGGGTTAAGAACTGGCTGTCTTGCAAACTAAAACAGATGTGATGCCTGCTAATGAAGCAGTTACCTCTGCCAATTTTATTTGATTTCCCACTAAATGAATGGGTTATTTTTTGGAATCAACAGAGTAAAATCAAGATTATGTAAAACTAGAAATGTATTTTTCACATTGTTTTGCCTTTTATCCTCACCTGATTGTGTCTTAATATACTACAGAAAACCTTTAGGGGCTGATGGGATTATACCTCTGTAACGAATATTTTGTGAGAGTGATGGTAACTAATCTAGTGTGTGTATTGCAAAGGAAAGTAAAATCTTATGATGTACACCAAGCACAGAAGTAAATATTTCCTCTCTTTCAGGCTGTAAATGATATCTTCACACGTGTCATTCTGGAGATCGAGAAGGCTGACGGCAACATCAGTCCCGAGGGAAAATGCAGAGTATCATGAAGATCCTGGGTTATAGGATGGACCTTTTGAAACATCTTTTCCACAATAATTCATCAAAATTATATAAGAGTTAAATTTCAATAGCTTAAGAATAATAGTGATAATATTACACCTAATAATAAGTATTCTTATTTGGCCTTGGAAAAAAAAAACTTTATAATAATGATATATGACACGGAATATCTTGCTGAAATTTTATGAGGAGGGAGATGAATTAATTTAGTCCTGGAGCCTTGTGTGAGTTTACATGAATTTGGGTTGGATTATATTTTGTAAGTATATGTACAGCATGTTTTAATATCGTACTAACTTACCCAGGGTGCCTCATTGGTAGACCAAGTACTCAATATACAGCCTAACCCATTTGTGACATTAGATGCAATTTTTGCAATATTCTTCGTTTTAAAAGAAAAATTTACTAGGAGTATACATCAGATTATGTGTCCCAGATCCTCCCTGGGCATAGAAAGAAGTTTCTTATATGATTTTCTTTTTTTCCTCGCTCTGTTTCTCTCTTATCTGTTCTCTTCTTTTTTCTTAACATGCCGTTTCAGGTTAAGATACAGTGTGAAATTTGATCATTTTTTGAAGCAAGTTACTGCCTCATCCTAAAAAGTAGCTGTAAATATATTTCATATAAGAGTGGGAACTTTATTTTTAGTTCTGTGGATAATGGAGATCAAGATTTAAAAAAAAAAAAAATGTAGTGTAAGAGGAAAAAAAACAAAACACAAAAAAAAGATTAGTAATTAAGTGAAAATCCTCCCCCCCTCCCCTCCTAAATCCCAGTTTCAAATGACATCACAAGTTCATAGACGTTCCCAGTTTTTGTAGCGTTAGTGTGTGAGGGGGTTTAGAGTTTGAGGCGTGTTCGTATCCAATATTTTTTCATCATATTTTTTATTTTGCTACCTAAATGATTCTCAGACACAAACAGGAAGTGTGATTGTTTAGTGTAAAGAATTGTAATATAGGTACGTGATAGATTTATTTGCAACTAAGAGTTTTTGACTTCTGTATTTTGTCAAATGTAAAGCTGGATACAGAGTGTTGTTGGTGAGCTGAAGCTTCTGTCACAGGAAGGATTCAGAATCTTACAGAAACTTGGTATACTAAGTAGAAGTAAAAATGACATTTTCTTTGGTAAATAAACTTTGTATGAAATTATATTTTTTATTTAAGAGTTGTCATGTTTGATATAATTTTTATATTAAATACAATGTGAACTAAGTATGGAGCAGTAGATGGCTTTTATTATGATTTTTTTGTGTTATTGAGTTATATTGTAAATGTAGCATAAAGTGTTTGTCGGAGACTGTTTCAACATGAATACCCAATCCTAATTTTATGAGAAAAGAAGTGATCCTATCTTGAACTGGTTGTTAATTTACTCAAATAGAAAATGCCATGAAGTGTATGTTTTGGTGTGGCTCAAACATGTCCACTTTTAAAGAAACAAAGATATGCACATATATGCGTAAGCAGACAAGTAGACAGAAAATAGTTATTGCATTGTAGATACAACTGATTTTCTACTCTTCATATTTTGAGTAAACAAACATATTCTGTGGAGCTGTGATGGTAAGTATTTGCTAGTTCTAGAGCAGCACCTGTATATTTTTTCTCAATTAGGGTTAAATATTAAGTAATCTCTTCAATGCCTATATGCTGTATACAATGGCGAGATGATGATGACCGGATATATAATGATACATTTTTTCTTTAGATTTTTTCTTATATACATTTGTAAATACTCTTATTAGGGCAAAGCCTGGCAAATTGTCTATACTTTACTTTCTTGTCTCTCAGATTTTTGAGAAAGCTGTGTAGGAATGGAGCAAATGAAATTAATGAATTTATTGATAGATTTAGAAACAGCACATACATCCCTCAGGAAGCTAAGATAGGTACAGTTGGAAGGCAGATATCCCTGTTGTAGCAGTAGTTCCCAAACTTTTGTGTATTGTATAATACCTCAAACTTTGCACTGAAATAATGTTACTGAATGCTGCAAAACACTGAAGATACTAAAGTAAGCAATATAAGAATCATCAGATAAAGCAGGTGAAAGAGTAGCTAAATATCTGGAGTAAATTGTGTACCAAAATTTGGGAACCTGATCTAGGATGGAGGAAACATGCCAAGGTGACAGACAGACTACCATGCTAATAAATAACAGGATTTGTTTCCTTAACAAAGAAGCACAAATAGAACATGAGGCAAATATTGAGTATTGAAACTAGAAAAGCATACACTGGTATCTTGGCAGTCTTTTGGAACAACAAAAAATGACTGCAATTTTTTCCTTCTTCTTCTTCTTGTTTAGAAATGCAAGTTCATCCATCTCATTGACAGGGAGTAGAGAAACTGCCTGCTCAGAAGAATTTTCCATCTCGGAAGGTGGTTTACCCTTACGTTTGCACAAGCAGACTCAAAAGCTCACCAAGGCATTATGCTATTAATTTTGCATTTTTTTTTAATTATTATCATTTGGTTATCATTGTTTTCCATTATTATTTTTTGATGAAAGCTATTACTTATAATACAAGACATTTCCTTGGTTAGTGTGGCACTATGAAAATAAGTGTTGTTCAGCTTTGAAAGTACAAAACTATCATCAAGAATGTAGAATTTTTGCAAAAGAATAACACTGCAAAGGGAGAGTATGTAGCAAAATTCAATGATGGTTGTATAAAATTGTACTAACTTCTGTATATTTATTTGGGCTTTTGATGAGGCATCACATTATCATAGCAGGAAGTGATAGTTATGGAGATGAAGTTATATATATTTTATTTTTTATTTTTAGATATATGTTTATAAAATCATAGAGGTACTGATAGACTGTTATGAGAATTTAAGAAATATATTTTTTGTGCTTGAGTGTAACCATGCAATAACTTTTTTCGTTGTTATGCTCGTGTGAGGGCTATGACAAGCAATAATTGTACCAAATGAGAATCAAAAAAAGAAAAAAAATATGTAGACGGAAGACTACATTTCAACATTTTTATGCATCAAGAATTCTTTTCATCTTCAGTTTTCCAAAAGTGTATCAGCTTCTGTTAGAATAAATGTATTATCAATGTGAAATTAGATGGAAGGTTTATTACTATAATTCTTGCGAATATACAGGTAAATGTGAAACAATTTCTTCTGTATATCTGACTATTCACATCCTGGAATGAAGCTTGAAGTTTGCGGTCTTCTCAGGAAATATTTACGCGTGTGTGCATGTGTATATATGTATGTATATATAGGCTTTTTGTATATGTATTTATATATACATACACATTCAGTATTTATATCTATAGATACAGACACTCAGTTTAGTTTTTCTTGTCTTTTTTTCCAAGACCATCAAAAGTATTGGTATATGAAAGGTCACAGACTGCAATTTATCATAAGAATAAAAATAAACCTGTCATTCAGTGAAAGTAATGAAAAGAGAAGTATCTGAAGAATCTGTATTTGTGAAAAAAAGTGGACAAGGAAACTCGCATGTATTAGTAAAGAAAGTTGATTGCCTGAAACAAAATCATGGATCTCAGAGATAGACCAGTATTTAATGCAGTTAAAGCAAGAACCACCATTTTTTTTACAACTTGAAAGCAAAAGGAAGTATAATATAACCAAAGTTTTCTTCAAGGTCCAGTCATTTATAACAACAGTTGACATTAAAAAAAATGATTAACCTTTTGGTCTACATGGGGACATTTAACTATGTTTTTCATATATTTCATATTTTGACTTGCATGTACTGAGCTTGCAAATAGTACCAAGGCTGGAAATATCTTAGATAGATTATCACCAGATCAGCTTTTTGGAAACTAATTTGTTTTATGATAGAAATATATCAGAATGTTTCTTATTATTAGGAATTCTTATAATTGGCCCTAGAAAAATTCATGTGAGTTGGTGATTTATGGCCTTTGATGTTTAACACATTTCTTTGCTTTTTAAACATTTATGTGAATAAGTGTAGAAGAGGGTATGAGTGTGAATTAATATTTTCTCAGCTGTGAAGATATTCATTCTCATTCATATCTTTCTCTACATTTGCCACAGTAAATGATATGTTTTGTACTATAATATAGTCACTTTATTTAAAGTATAGATGTCTAGCAGATTTATTTCGCTTTCAACATTAACCAATAACCATTTATTTAAAGTAAGACTAAGATTGCGTCCACACCAGTTGGAGACTTATTGAAAACATTGTGGGGGACACAATAAGAGACACTCAGATACAAATCTGATACGCATGGGGACGTCTGTTACAATGTTGAGAGACGTGTCGGCAATAAGAGTTGACTTGGTGAAACTGTCCACACCATGTTGGTCTGTTGGTTGGCGGGAGGTCTCTGACGACATCACCTCGTCCACACCAGGGTTGACTTGTTAACTTGTTACCCAACCTGTCAGTCTTAATGTTCCCACCGTGTTTGGTCACCGAGTTGGACTGACAATTTGGGTAATAAGTCAAGTCGTTGAGGAACATCGTAGTAGACATGGTACGGATTTGTTGGGCGACATGTTAGCAACCCTGGTGTGAATGAGGTGATGTCGTCAGAGACCTCCCACCAACCAACATACCAACATGGTGTGGACAGTTTCACCAAGTCGACTCTTATTGCCGACAAATCTCTCAACAATGTAACAGAATGTCCCCATACTTATCAGATTTGTATCCGAATGTCTTAATGTGTCCCCCACAATGTTTCCAGTTTGTCTCCAAACAACATGTCACTGGTGTGGACGCACCCTGATGATATTACTTGTTGGACAAGAATAAGAGGTGATGGTTATACTCAAACTTCAAGGATTACTACATAGCATTCACTGGGAATATAGCTTGAAGGTAGCGGGTAAAATTAAAACATGTACCATAATAACATCGAAGACCATTTGGCCACATTTTGCCTTCATAAAGACCCCATAATCCCTTGCCTTTTGTTGCCATGCGGGATCATAGGACTGGGGTCTAGTCCTAGGGATCACCCCAGCGTTAGGCCTCAGCCACGACCCCACAAAGTCTGCACGGTCTTCTCTTCTCCAACACCTACTATCCATTTCCTAAGGTGTAAGAGCCGTGTTGAAAGGACGAAAGGCTGACTTCGTGCCAGCCATGAACTAGAGGAGCCTTAGGCACGGTTTTTCCCGTTTTAGTTGTCCAGTCCTTTCCTTCAAGGGGACCCTTTGGGGTAGACTGCACTATTTCTCTCCTCGACATACTCCAGGCTTACCATGACCAGTAATGAAGATTTTGTGGCCCTAGTAGGGGTAATGAGGCTTGTTCCTTTATCAACTAATCCCACTCATTTTAATTCCCCCGGTTCGCCATCCCCAGCCTCTGTTTTAACTAATACTGTGAACATTGCTGCAACCCTCTACTATGACCGCAGTCCAATCTAAATCATCCTGTCATTACTCAACCCCCAGGAAACATTCTCCTCTCCCAGCATCTGCTTCATCTACTAACCCCTTCTCTTTTATTACTACTCTGCAGCCTTATTATCCACCTCTTCTCAGCAGGGCCAACCACTTCACTCAGTGCCACTCGCTCTTCCACAAGGCCCCGTTCTGTTACTACCCCCACCTACATTTTTTTTTAAGCCCAGCCAAATGGGAGCGATTTTTTGTTATCCCCTCTACAGCCCCTTACTCTGACGACACTCTCCTCTTCCAACAATACTTCCAAAACCAAGAAGGCAAAGATTTATAGCGCAGCTTACTTTATCACAATTACATCTGCATCCTAAACTAAAGCATTATTAATCCTGACAGACTTCTCATGCAAATCCATTGCAGCACAGCTTCATCCCTCCCACAATACTTGCATCGGAACAGTCTCCATCTCTCAGACACTGTCCTGTCTGCATCAAAGATTGGACAGATTGTGGCCACATGGATTATGATGCGGTATCAGTACAGTGCGACACCATTCTCCCTAGAGGCCTCCATAAGTCGTCCACCAATAAGGCCGAGATTCCTTTCCGTAGATATGACCTCCCCTTCACCCCGTCAGTGTCAGAATTCTAGGCGTGTAGGCTACCCCGCCAGACACTGCCGCTCCACAGCCCGATGCTCTCTGTGCTCCCAACCTCGTGATCAGTCAAACTACTCTGCACAGCCACGCACATATGCCAATTGTAGTGGCTCCTATAATGTATTTTATAGAGGCTGCCCTATCTACGAGTTCGAGCCTCAGGTGGCAACTCTTAGATTAAAACTTCGCCTTAGCTTACGAGAGTCCAGACATAGAATTTCTCATCTCACTCCCTACTCCAATGTTACCTTTCACTCCGCCTTTCCTTCTTCCTCCGACAATGTTTCTACATCCCCCAGTATCTATTCCTCCACCAACCGTTTCCATTGCTACTCCTTCCTCTCTCAATCAAATTATTTAGCTATACATCCAGACAACCCAATTTCTATCCCTGCCCCGACGCCTCCCCCTCCCCTCTCCTCGCTTAACCCATAGTAGACAACCTAAACGGTCCTCCCCATCTGCCACCCCCTCCCCTCCACCCACCTCTTCCTCAAACCCTACATGTCCTTCACTTGATCTCATCCTCTCCAGTTTATCCACTAACCCAATCACTCACCCCTCCACCTTTACCTAACTATAAACACCCTTCAAATACCATCCTACTACAACACAGCCGCTGACGTGTAACACCTAACTAATAACTCATCCCCAGCGCCCCTTGCGTCCCTTTCCGATACTGTACCTCCAATAGTGATAAATGACCTTCGATGTCTAGCACATTAATTTCGCCTCTAACCATTGACTTAACTTCCTCAAACCCTCAGACGCCTAGCTCCTCTTCTCTCCCTTTGTTCCTTAGACCCCCAACCAAATCTACTTCAAAGACTCGAATACATTCAAAACCATCTAATCATGACCAGAGGTAACATGCCAGCACCTCATCCATCGCCTAATCTCTCTGGTCCCATTCTCACTATACTCGAGGTAATTGCCGACATCTATTCTCCTCCTATTCATGTCCCCCAACACCCCTTCCTCCCACTCCCTCCCAACATATCCCATCCCCCCTGTGTCGTCTGCATTTTCACCCCATCCTTCCCTATTACCCTTTCTACTCCCCCCTGGATACACCTGTGACTCTTTGTCGCAACAATCCCCTTCCGTGGATTCTCACCCTCCTGACATTTCTCCTGAAACCGTGATCTAACCGCCCTTAACCTCCCTTTCTCCTTTTGCTAACCCCCTATCTTACCCTAAGGACATCCTTGCGGAATCCCACGCTTCTTCCTTGGGTAATTTTGATCAAATAACCCTTGTTAATCCCTACCTTAACTCATTTACTCAAAAAATCTACCCTCACCCCTCTTTACCCCTTTCTATGACATACTATCCTGAACTGCTATACGACTTTTAACGTGTTCCACACTTAATGATTACCTAACCTCCCTTTTTACCCTTTTCACTACTACACCTTTCTACAGTGCTTTATGACCTTAGATGTCCATAACATTTATTTTGCTTTGTAATGATTAACCATTAACCTCCATTTAGACAAGAGGACATGGGATCTCAGCCATTACAACCTGGTAACACGAAAGATAATTTCTTTGACTAATGCAACAACTCTTTACTCCAATAGTATATCCATGTGAAAGTATTATAGACGTATAGGCATTATATTCCACAGAAAATGTGAAAACCTACTCTTAAGTAACTGCATTTAGATCCTTACCTAAAGAATGGGAAACTTGTTGTTGACTGCACTGTGTAAACCGCTGTACATTAGGTGTGACACTTAAAAGAGACCAAATCCTTATTTCCCTTTACTTCCTGTTGCTGCATTTAGCATTTTTATTAAAGTATATTTTCATGAACCTAATCGCGTTTTAACCCGGAAACTCTCCACGTGTCCCTAATGTTTCAGGTTCGAAAATGATTAGGTGAAGAGGTGGTGTATAAAGCGACGCATTTCAAAGGGGAGTCGAGATGCGCTGATGAGAACCACTGCACAAGAATATGAAATCCTGGAACTCTAGTGCTCACTCTATTTTGTAAATTACTTCTGTATAGCAATATTACACACATATATCATATACATACA